GAGCCTGAGTTAGATAGGTGCTTTTGAGAATGGTACCCATTCGGTTTAAATGAGGGTGTTTCCCCAAAGGATACCCACTCATTCTCAACTGGGAATGCATAGTAGGAAGTAGGGGAAAGGAGGGACTAAGGAATTAAAGTCTATGGAAATGATCTAAAGCCGCCAGTTCTGTCGTTCTCATCAATCTTTATTATAGTCCCTTTGTGGCTATGAATTGTGGGATAGGGCATAAAGTTACCACCGGACTTAATATTTCCAGACTCAGGCTTATTTTCAAAGTGATCCCACATCCTGCGTGAGTGTCACATGTTGTTATGATGTCACATATTGGTACTCCACAGACATAGTGTTTTGCGACTACTAACTAATTTTCGATGCCTCGTCACTGCCATGTTGCACTGGAATATGCTAATGTAACACTGATGCAAACAGAATGATACCAAGGTGCACAATTTGAATGTTCTCTTTAAGCTTGTGAAGCAATATGACACGTGACCTAATGTCTACCCTACTGTAAACTAGTGAATGTGCTATGCCATAGCCTCAGTGTTGCTTTTCAGTTCTGAGAAGTTTCTCACAAGCTGTAAATGTTTGCACTTTCCTGGATTCACTTTGTTAGCCGGTTGGGATAAATCATACTGGACGATAAAACTGCCATTGTAACAACCTGCAAATACATAAAGCCGCCTGATGGTGGGAATTTGCCTCGGGCCCACTGTTTTGAGAGGGCCCCCAAAATGATAGAGGGGTGGCCAGGCCAAATTTGAGTGAGTGGTGTTGCAACCTGGCTGTGGAGTTGCAGTGCCACTCAGATTTGGAAACTGCCAACAATAGTGTGAGAAGCAACTTGCCTGCCCCAGCCTGGCCCAGATCCCACCATTGCCACCACTGACATCATTGCGCTGGGCCTGAAGTGACCTACCAGGCCAAGAACCTGTATGTGTAGTAGCGTGGTCTGAGCTCTGGGAGAGGCAGGAATAGGAGCAGCCCCCTGGCTGCACACGGGGCAAAGCCCCCGCAAAAGGGAGGCCAGAGATCCCCACAGACCTGGGTCCTCTCTGACCCCCATCTCTTCCCTGGCCCTCCATTCCTTCAGAGAGGACAGCAACCCCACAGACCTGGGCCGTCTCTAACCCCTCCACCCCCTTCTTAAACTCTTTAATTTCCATGGTAATTTTTTTGGAAGGATGGAAAGTAGGGTTGCCAACTTTCTAGTCGCACAAAACCGAACACCCTAGCCCTGCCTCTTCCCAAGGCCCCGCCCCCGCTCACTACATTCCACCTCCCTGAGTGGCTCACTCTCCCCCACCCTCACTCACTTTCAATGGGCTAGGGCAGGGGGTTTGGGTGTGGGAGGGCTCTACCTGGGGGTGTGGGCTCCAGGGTGGGGCCGGGGATGAGGGGCTCAGGGTGTGGGAGGGGGCTCTGAGCTGGGGCAGGAGGTTGGGGTGTGGGAAGGGGTGAGGCTGTGGGCTGGGGGGGGTGCAGGCTCTGGGGTGGGGCTGGGGATGAGGGGCTTGGGGTGCAGGAGGGTGCTCTGGGTTGGGGGGGACTCAGGGATGGGGCAGGGGCTTAGGGTGTGGGCTTACCTTGGGTGGTTCCTGGTCAGTGGCGCAACACGGGGGCTAAGGCAGGCTGCCTGCATGTCCTGGCACTACGCTGCACATGCCCCGGAAGCAGCCAACAGGTCCGGGTACTAGGCAGGGGGGCTAGGAGGCTCTACGCGCCACTCTTGCCCACAGGCGCTGCCCATTGGCCAGGAGTGCAGAGCCGGTGCTCGGGGCAGGGGCAGCGCGCGGGGACCCCCTGCCTAGAAGCTAGACCAGCTGCCCACTTCCGGGGCACAGTGCGGTGCCAGCCAGGACAGGTAGGGACTAGCCTACCTTAGTGCCGCAGCACCACCGACCGAACTTTTAATGGCCTGGTCGGCAGTGCTGACCGGAATTGACAGGGTCCCTTTTCAACCAGGTGTTCTGGTCGAAAACAGGACACCTGGTCACCCTAATGGAAGGCTTCGGTTTCAGATTAGATTCAAATCTAATTTCCAAAGACACAGGAAAAGTAGCCAAGCCTGCAAGCACCCAAGTTACTGCAAGCGTATCCCTAACATCTCTATAAAGGTAATTCACTCCAATCTTTTAGTATCTAAAGATTCTCTGAGGGTATGATTCTCTTTACGCCTCTTTAAGAAGAAATTACCTCACAGACCTAATTTCATCGCAAGGTTGGACAACCTGAGATGATTCCCAAGGGGATCCAGGGGTAGGAGATGGTTTGGCATCTTCACTCTCTAGATTACTAATTAAATCCTTTTCACAAAGGTAACAAAGATCCTGAAATTTGCTTTCCCTCCATGATCAGTTCTGTAACTAATCTCACCATTTCAAGCTTTCTCACTTGAAAAGTATTATAGAAACACCAAGAGCATAAAAAATGAATTTTTGGACAGTGTCTAGCTTTGCCCTATAAATGTGCTAATGTTTCTGAGCTGGGCTGGAAAACGATTCTCAACCACTCTAGCTTCCTTATTGCTTTGTTCTGGTCAGAATGGCAATTCAACCTTTTAAAAAAACTCTTCAGATGAAAATGTGCCTGGTAAGGTCCTGAAGCATATTTTCCTTTACATTTTAAACACCTGGTCCAACTTGGTATATTAAACAGAAAAAGTTACTTTGCCAGTTACACAGTTAGAGTCTTTTAATTAGATTCCCTTTTAATACCTGTTTTCCAGAATACATTAAGGCATTTTAATAATCTGTCCTTGTTGCCTCAGAATGACCTTGTTAATATGCAGGTGCATTTTACAATATATTCCTCTCTGTATCTTGTAATCTATTTCAGTAGTGTTGCAAGTAGTGTCTTGCAATTTATTTGCCTCAGCCCATTCCTCTTGGTCTTTATGCTGAATGTCACCATGCTTAGCTCCTACCAGTTGCAAGAGCAGTGCCACTGTTAGCCAGAACACTGACTTTACAACAGTGACTTTAACACTGATGGCATCACTGAGCACTCTATCATCCAATTCCACGCTGCTAACTCACTGACTACAGCATAAGTGTCCCACCTTGTGCTCATGAAGTGACTGAAAATATAGAGAGAATTTTGAGCAGGTGAGGTTCGAAAACACCTCTTGCATGATGTGGAATGCACGGAAAACCTTTCATGCATGACCAACAGTTCTTGATAAACAATCTTTGATCAGGAATAAAGAATCAATGGGTTTAGGGGGTAAAAGAGAAATGCATTCAGTGTATGGTTTGTAGCATCTCCATATTCTTAGCGGGGGAGGGATAGCTCAGTGGTTTGAGCATTGGCCTGCTAAATCCAGGGTTGTGAGTTCAATCCTTGAGGGGGTCACTTAGGGAGCGGGGGCAAAAATCAGTACTTGGTCCTGCTAGTGAAGGCAGGGGGGTGGACTTAATGACCTTTCCCTTCCAGCTCTATGAGATAGGTATATCTCAATATATTAACTGAACTCTAGTTAATTCTTTCTGTTTATCTAGTCTTGTAAGCTGAGGCAAGGATTTTTCCTATATGCATTAAAACACTGTGAAACAAATTGCCATATCCTATTATAAACAATAAACAGCACCAATGAAATGTATCTGTGTATGAGGAGCTCCATTTCTAGTTAGAGACCAGGCTCAGCCATAAGGCCTGATTCTGTTCTCACGTAAACCAATGTAAACCCAGAATAACTCCACTGAAGTCACTGGAATTACACAGGCATAAGACAGGTGTGAGAGCAGAATTGGGACCTATCTGGATCCAAACATCCCCAAAGTTCAGATGTGTTTGCAGAGGTGATTTCAGTCTCTGGAAGCTTGCTTCACAGCCAGACTTCCTCAACCAAGATCACTTTATCTATGGCTCTCACACATTTCATCCTGGGCTTTGTCCCAGAGGAATGATGGATCATGGCTGTAGGGGTTTGAAAGGCTGTTGAGGGAGCCCGTTGAGAGGTTTAAAGCTTAGGAATCAATGATACCATCCAAATCCTTTTTGGTTCATATCACAAAACACGTCATTTGGTAAAGAGCTGTCTTTGTCCAACAAGGCTCAGGACTGCATTAGTCAAGTGTTCCTGGTCAGCACTGGAAAGGCAAAGATGTTACAGGACAGGACTGAGGTACATTGAGGAAACTTGCACATCACTTGCCTGCAGTTTTCTGGACTGAAGCCATTAGTAAAACCACCCTGGAGAAAACAGAGAATCCTCTACATGTTAAAGTGCAATCACGGATTTTTATTAACTTGCTTTAGTACAGGGTTACTGTTGTAAGTACATCTCTACCCCGATATAACGTGACCCGATATAACACTAAGTCGGATATAACGCGGTAAGCAGTGCTCCGGAGGGGCGGGGCTGCGCACTCTGGTGGATCAAAGCAAGTTCGATATAACGCGGTTTCACCTATAACACAGTAAGATTTTTTTGGCTCCCGGGGACAGCGTTATATCGGGGTAGAGGTGTACATATAATTACCCATTCAGTGTCTAGCAGCAAGTTATCCTTCTGTACAGAGATGGCTCTGAACAAACTCCACCAGATTCTAACCCTGGATCTGGTCTAGGTTTGGATGTGAATTCATAGCACAGACCTGCCTATAATGGACTGAACATGCATGTAAGTTGCAAATACCCGATCCCTGGGGAAAATCTGCATTTCATTTTCATACTCACAAGTTTTTGAAGTGTTTAAATCCACGGGAGTTTTTCTTGGCCCATTATGGGGAGAGACAATTTGGATTGTGAGTTGTGATTCAGGCCCATCTCCATGTATAGCTAAGCTTTTATTTTCCCAAGGCAGATAATGGTACTTTAAATGAGTAATTTCATGAAATGTATCTCTCCTCTGCCTTGAGTAATCGAATTCTAAGGTGTTCCTTTAATTGTGCTATGGATTGAATTTGGAATGCATTGGCCCATTACAGGAACAGGTTTGTTTCATAGGTGAATGTCAGCCTTATGCCAAGATACAGCAGAAAATAAAATGATACCTCAACAGCTGCCTTTGCTCTTTCAAATTCCTCCTCCAAGGAATGATTTCTGGAGAGGAGTGAACCTCCCCAACGCTGCTCTTTGGTTGATCGTGCCTTAAAGAAATAAAGAATAAATAAGAAAGGATGACATGCTTTGTCACAAACTTTCAAGTTCCTTCTCTTTCTTTCTTCACTAGTGTTGAAAGTGACCTTCATCTGGTGCGATGCTGTGTGTTTCCCTATGTGAATCCCCACCAACACTGGACACAGCTTTAGCAGTGTCCACTGCTTCAGCGGAGCAAAGTAACATCTCATTCCCTAGAGTTTCCTTTTCACTCGGGATTTAGACATGATGAACAATCCCAGCTTTGGTTGTGAAAGATCCAAAATAGTCCCTTGAAGCTTCAGAGAAAATGAACTTCAGAATGGTTAAAAAGACTGTGTAACATTAAAAGCTTGTGCCTCGAATAAGCTATCTTCACATCTCCCCTTCCTCTCTCTCCCCCCCCCCCCCGCAAGTTCATTTTGCTTCATTCTGCAAGACAGAAATGTAGCTGTTGGAATTCCTAATAAGGAGAGCTGTCCCACAGGTACCATTTCATTTTTGAATGGACTGTATTCAACATGATTAATACTTCGTTTAAGTAGTTGAAAGTTTATGGTTGAGAACTGGATCCTGTACAGTTCAGCCTCTATTACCTGAACCCCTTGTGTTATCACCCCAAACTCCCCGTTATCTAAAACAGGGTCACATTCTCTGGTGCCTGTTAGTTACACTGACAATCCCCTTGATTGTCTGAAAGCTTCATTTTCTGAATGTATGCCATGTTCCCTGAAATTATCATGTAATCTCACTGTAGCCATTTCTGTAAATTACAATCTACTTGAAGAGACATTCAACTGAATTTGTATTTTATTTTATTTTTCAAATAGACATTAATTTAAAAGAGACAAGGTGATATATTATCTTTTATCTTGTCCAATAAACAATATTACCTGCCCCAACTTGTCTCTCTAATATCCTGGGACCGACATGGCTAACATACCACTACATACATTTTTTTAAAAAGAGACCCAAAATACACAGTACACCCCTGCCTCTGTCTGCAAGTCTTTTACAATGAAAAATCAGTGCGTGAGAGGTCTGAGTTGTAAATATATGTGGAGATGACTTTCCTTATGATGATAAAAGGATGTGGGATTGGTTGGCACACAGGAAATGCATGGGACAGATATACAAACCTCACAATCTGCAGTTTTCTCACTCTTATCTAAGTGATTCAGAATGGGCAGAAGAGGATTTTTAGACAGTTCTTGGATTTTGGGTGGGGACTACAAAGAGAGCAGGGAGACATCTTGAAGAGGAAAAGTGTGAAAGTTAGGCTACAGAAGGAGTATTTGGCTGCTATTTTGTTTGCTTCTACTATTGTTCTTTCATAATGGAGGTGCATTTAATTCACTATCCTCTGCAGGAGAAAGTTGTACCTGTTTTCTCTGCACTTGCTGTATCTGTCTGTCAGGCTGTGTCCTGAGGTTTAGGATCACTAGTACAAATACCTCCTTTGTATTGATTTTCTCTAAACCTTGAGTACCTTGAAGACTTCAGTTATAATAAGAGATGACTCCGAAATGCAGGGCTCAGACCTAAATCCAGGTCTAGGCTTTCCCAAAGGCTGGGGGAATAAGCTCTGGGGTGTTCTTCCAGCTCTACAGATAATGGACTTGAGTCACCAATGTGTGAAACTGGAGGACTGCAATGGTGAATTGGGTTCAGTGACCAGTCATGGATTTTTGGATCCAGATGTGAACTTTCCCAAAGTTGGGGGGGGGGGGGAATTTGGATTGTAGGATTAGGTTTGGGGTATCTTTAATATCAACATCCTGTCCCCATGTTTTATGTTCAACAGGTACAATCTCTATTGCCTGATCATCCTGCATACTTTAATTCTCCTCCTCCCTTCATTGTTCTTCCCCTGAAGACCCTTTCCGCTAGTCCTGCCTACAGCATATGCCACCCTAATTTTAAATAGATTATTCTTTGTGTGTCTTAACAACACATTAGAAAACATCTCTCTCTCCTTGCACGTTCCAGAGCTTGGTTTACTATTGTTACCGTGACTGCATAGGCTGAGCTGAACGGATGATTGTTGTTTTTGACATCCCTAGCACACTCTTCTCTCCAATCTATCCCACAGGAAGCACATTAGTAATGTCCTCTACAACTATTCTTTTATTAAAATAATTCTAATTATGCTTTTGTACAAAAGGCACAGTGCAAAGAACTATGTTAAGCCACTGCAAGGAAAACCACATGGTGACCTTTAGCCTTGCCAAATAGAAATTGCTCTCTGACTCCGCTAATCCCTTACCCCCACACTTGCCTAAGGTTAAAACTCATTAGCTATTTGTCTGCCCATGGTCCCAACTGCATTAATTTACATGATTATATTTCTGATGGTTGTACTTGGTGATATTCAATTACAATGAACCAGATTCATCCCTGGTGTAACTTCACTCCTTTGAAATTCGGGTTTGAACCTGACAAAATGTGTTGTATCAGTAAGTGCTGTACGGGCATTGTTGTGATGAAGTAACCTAATCAGAAGTATACCTATAAGCAAATGTACAGAATTCATCTCCAGAAGCAGCACTTTGCCATATTCTTAATGCACAGTCTCAGTACCTAAATATTTTTTTCTTTTTGGAGAAGGATACTGACAAAGGATCAGATTCTAATCTTATGTGTGGAATGTTTCTTTGCCTCCCTTAAATCTATTCCTGCGCTTGTGACTACATGTTCAGAAGGATTTTAAAAAAAAAACTGGAATCATGACATGCATTTGAGATTCCAGTCTGGTCCAACTGTGTGTATATTCTTCATATGTCTTTGTGCCAGCGAGGTTAGTTTACTGCAATGAAATCTGTATTGGGCTACCGAACACTGAACCAACACCTGCTGTTAGTGTAGAACAAGATGGCACAATTGCTGTTAGAAGTGGGCAGTAGGGATTCTGCCTAACCGCTGTTTCATGCTCTGCACTGGATGCCTTTGGCATCTGGATTGAGTTTAAGATTTAGCTGTCAATGACCAGATACCTGGGGGTTGTAGTCCTCTCCCCATTATCCTCTATGGCAGGGGTAGGCAACCTATGGCACGCATGCCGAAGGCGGCACGCGAGCTGATTTTCAGTGGTACTCACACTGCCCGGGTCCTGGCCACTGGTCCGGGGGCCTCTGCATTTTAATTTAATTTTAAATGAAGCTTCTTAAACATTTTAAAAACCTTATTTACTTTACATACAACAGTAGTTTAGTTATATATTATAGACTTATAGAAAGAGACCTTCTAAAAACGTTAAAATGTATGACTGGCACGCGACACCTTAAATCAGAGTGAATAAATGAAGACTCGGCACACAATTTCTGAAAGGTTGCCGACCCCTGCTTTATGGTGACCCAGGGCTGGGCTGGGATCTCAATGGCTGCTGCAGTATTAAGGCAAAGGATAAGGACCCAGGACATCTGGCTTCTGCTTCCACTTTTGCACCAACCTCCCATGTTGAGCTAGTTGGAAAATCTTATTTTTTTCCCCAGAAATTTCCAAACCTGCATTTCATTAGTGATGGGGGGGGGAAAGGACCAGGAATGGAGAGCTGGCAGACATACCAAGGAGCAGAGTTCTGCTGTGGCTTTCTCTAACAGGGGAATGGGCATACTGGAGAAGTGGCCAGTGGGTCTGCACACAATGTGGTCCATAAAGTCAGTACTCTATGTTGGGAGGTAGGTGCAATAGCTGCCCACTATCTACTGCCTTTGGGGTAGAACGTCTTATTCCCCCGTACCAATCATTTTGTGCACATTTTTCTGCACTTGCTCTCTGTTTACATGGGGTATGTGCTGTTGGTGAGAGGAGTAAATAATAGACTAATTTTGTGGTCTCTCTTCAAAGTAATGGGCCTGTTCCATTCCTGGTGTAACTTTCTTGATCTCATTAGAGTTACTGGCACACCAGATATGGATCCACCTGCCCCATTTTTCTTACGGGTAGACACCAGACCACCTTATGCAGTCCCTGACAAACATTCTAAATAGTGATGCACAGAACTCCTGATGTGAATTGTGAGTTATAAATGTTTTAGGTTTAATTCTGATCTCCCTTACGTCAGTGTAAATCAGTAGTAATTCCAATGAGGCCCACGGAATTTCAACAGTAAGAGTGGTGTGATTAGGGTGACCAGATGTCCTGATTTTATAGGGACAGCCCCGATTTTTGGGTCTTTTTCTTATATAGGTTCCTATTACCCTCCCACCCCCGTCCCGATTTTTCACATTTGCTGTCTGGTCATCCAAGGTGTCAGAATCAGACCCAATTTCCAAGAGTGGGCACTTATGTCCAGGGGTGGCTCCAGCTTTTCGGCCGCCCAAAGAAGAAAAAAAAAAAAAGAGGCGATTGGCGGCACTTCGGCAGCAGCTCAATCGTGCCGCTTCATTCTTCTGCAGCAATTCGGCAGCGGGTCCTTCACTCCCTCTCTTCCTCTTCGGCGGCACTTCGGTGGCAGCCCAAAGAGGAAGAGAGGGACTGAGGGACCCGCCGCTGAATTGCCGCCGAAGACCCGGAGGTGCTGCCCCGATACCGGACAGAGTGCCGCCCCTTTCTATTGGCTGCCCCAAGCACCTGCTTCCTTCGCTGGTGCCTGGAGCCGGCCCTGCTTATGTCAGGGTTTCGCTAGTCGGTCTTTGGATGAGTAAATCAGCACATAGAGAGCTCCAATATCCAGTGTTTAGGGCAGGCGAGGCCAAAGTTTGAAAATTGAGTTTATTGGGTTATTGAATAAGCAGACCATGTACCATTTGAAATTAAATATATTAAAAATATTCTGTTTGCAGTTCTCATCATTGAGGAGAAAACTAAATTGTAAAAAGACCAAATTCTGTAGAACATTTCCAGGCAGATAAATTCACAAGTGGGAATCTGCTAAGGTAGCTGGCACCAAAAAAACTTGGCGCTACAGAGCTTCAAAAGCTAAAATTGGGTAGCATATGACAGGAGTAGAATACTGAGAAGGAAGAAGTCCACAAACCATGACTGCCCCAATGTTGTTGTGTATTCTGAC